CACACACACACACACACACACTTGCCCACACTCACATACACACACACACACACACACACACATGCACACACAGACATACACACACACACACTTGCCTACACTCACACACACTTGCCCACACTCACACACACAAACACACACCCACCCACACACACACACACACACACACACACACACACGCGCACACACATGTTGGCATGCTTACACATATTGACATACACGCTTACGTACACTCATTTTAGAGTACATTATCTTTTTTGTGTTTGTTACTCTCTTGTAACACCTCTAATCTTCGGCACTTCTGTGACCTTATTGTGTTACAAGTGCCGTAAAACACTTACTAAAACTAAACTAAACTCTGATGTTGTCATTCTCTTTCTTCATATTCTAAATATCTTTTGACTTGTGTTTTCATATATTGTTTTTCTTTCATTTGATTGTCATCTTCTTTGTTATTTGGTTGTCATCATCTTTTCTCACATTGAGTTTATTTTTTTCTCATCTTCTCTCATTGTGTCATCGTTTTTTCTCATCTTCTCTCATTGTGTCATCACTTTTTCTCATCTTCTCTCATTGTGTCATCACTTTTTCTCATTTTCTCTCATTGTGTCATCACTTTTTCTCATCTTCTCTCATTGTGTCATCACTTTTTCTCATCTTCTCTCATTGTGTCATCGTTTTTTCTCATCTTCTCTCATTGTGTCATCACTTTTTCTCATCTTCTCTCATTGTGTCATCACTTTTTCTCATCTTCTCTTATTGTGTCATCACATTTTCTTGTCTTCTCTTATTTTGCCAGTGGGTTTTTGGAGTGTGCCACTTGTAGGTCCTATATTTCTTTACTTTCTCTCTGTTCTTTCTGTCTCTCTGTCTGTCTTACTTTTTCCCCAGCACTAAATGGCCATGAGTGTGTTGATGTGCCTCTCTTTACCAAAGAGTCTACATAACAAGAGGGGCCACTTCTCTCTTTGAGCCAATTAAAAAAGTGTCCTCAAAATTCGGTGGCGCCCTCTTCGCAAAAGCGCACCCTTTGCGAACAGTGTTACCTGACTTGAGTTTTAAAAATCAAAGTGAAACTAGCAAGTTTTTGAATAAATTTTGGAAGAATGCTTTTTTAAAATGGTTACGCTGACAAAAAAACCTCTTCCGGACGAAGGGGTGATTATTTTCTTCGTTTAATTTGACTTTACAATGAAAGGTGAGAGGTCATTAAAATTTAAAAAATCTAAAACTCCACACTGAACGAACCCGAACTGCTGATGAACAGCAGTCGATCTGCACACGCAAGGAGGTGCTTTTCCTATTCTTCTTCTGGAAAAACGAAAGAGAGCTTCAAAACAGACTGCAGCGCCATCTGAAGCAAAGAGCGAACTTCCGGCGGACACTTTTTTGGCTGAGTGGCCCATCTTGTTATGTACTATCTTTGTCTCTACTCAAACTAATAAACAAATCACATTGCCAACACTTTTTATCGGGCTGCTCTTGTTCATAAAAAAGTAAATCAAAGAATGTTCCTTTTAATTAAGGAAATGAAGAAGTTTCCGTGTTGATAATAAGATTATATACCATTCTATGATTGAAAGTGTTGCTATTATTTTGTATTTATTGCTGGGCTGGGAATTGTAAGGGGAAAGATAAAGAAAAATTTGCCAGAACCATTAAGAAAGCCAGCAACATGATCTCTGGATATGATTTTACTAGAATTGGTGAAATGTATAACACCACATGTATAAAAAAGATAAAAAAGCATTATAAACGACCCATCACATGTTCCTCCAAAAACAAAGAAAGAAAAATATAAAAGAAGTTTTTTTTACATCTAGCATAAGGCTATTGTCAGAATAAGCATCAATGTGTATTGGTCTTTAGAGTATGTATCTATATTACTCCAAAGGTCTTGTAATTAAATTCCTGCGCATCTGATTTGAAATGTACATTTTGTCAGCTTTACTTCACTTTTCATACTGAATTTTAACGGGGGTAATATACAATTTAAATTTTTTATGTATACCTACATGTGTTTTTACGGTCCTACCGTTTTGTACAGCCAAGAAAAATTTCCTTCTGGGATAATAAAGTATTATCTTATCTTATCTTATCACCTTCTCTCAGCATATGATCACTTTTTCTCACAATGCTAACCTTGTGGGTGATTGGCAGGTGCTCTGGTGTGGTTTGCTTCTTCTTTCCTATGAAACATCTATCGTCCTTATCTCCCCTTCTTCTTTTTTTTATGTTTGTTACTCTCTTGTAACACTTCTAATCTTATGGCGCTCATATGACCTTATGCAGTTGTGAGCGCCGTAAAACCTCTACTAAAAAAAACTTTTTCTCACCTTCTGGCATGTCATCGTCTTTTTCTCACATTGTGTTGCAAGTGCCGTAAAACTCTTACTAAAACTAAATTTCTCACATTGACTTCCCTCTTCCTCATCCTCTCTTTCATTGCTGTTGTCCGTCCCCAGTTCCCCCAGGAAGGAGCTATCCTGGTGTTCCTCCCTGGCTTTGCAGAGATCCAGACTCTGTACGACTTGCTGCTGGCGACCTCAGAGTTTGGTCTGCGGAACAAGGGCAGGTGGGGGGGCCAAGGCTTTTCGAGTCTGTGTCTTTTGTCTGTGTCTTTTGTCTGTGTCTTGAAATTATTGTGTATGTCTTGTATAATTGTCTGTGTCTTGTATAACTAATTGTCTGTGCCTGTAATTGTTTGGGTCTTTTGCCTGTGTCTTTTTTCTGCGTCTTTTGTCTGTGTCTTTTTTCTGCGTCTTTTGTCTGTGTTTTGAAATTATCTGTCTTGTATAATTGTCTGTACCTGTTTTTGTTAGTGTCTTTTGTCTGTGTCTTGAAATTGTTTGTCTTATAAGTGTCTATGTCTTTTATAATTGGCTATGCCTGCAATTGTTTGTATCTTTTGTCTGTGTCTTTTATCTGTATCTTGAAATTGTCTATGTCTTGTATAATTGTCTGTGCCTGTTATTTTTTTGGGTCTTTTGTCTGTGTCTTGAAATTATCTATGTTTTGTATAATTGTCTGTGCCTGTAATTGTCTGTGTCTTTTATCTGTGTCTTGAAATTGTCTGTCTTGTATAATTGCCTATACCTGTAACTGTCTGTGCTGTGCATTTCTGCACCTGTGTGCTATTTTTTTCCAACATATTTTTGCCTTTATTTAATATAGCATTTTATTGTTACAAATTCCTGCTGGACCAATATTAGGTGTGAGTGTGTATGAACTATCACCTAAAGTTGGTGGCAGTATGTGTGAAAACGTACATTGACTAAGATTTATTTTAGTGTGTGTGAATACATGCCTTGACTAAGATTTATTATTTCAGTATGTGTGAATAGGTACATTGAGGTTTATTTCAGTATATCTGAATACGTACACTGTCGTAAGTTTATTGCAGTATATGTGGTATGTCACTTAAGTTGAGTTGGTGTCAGATTGTGTGAATATATATTGACTAGGGTTTACTACCATCATCCTCTATACATATTATTATTTATTATAATTGTGAAGGTTCTTCACTTTGGTCGTGTAAAACTTCCGAACCACTTTACTTTTGAATTTGAAAAAAATTAACAATGGTTCAGAATCATTTAAAGAGTGACTGATATCAAGGAGTCTGAAGTCACTGTAGTTTAATTTTCCGTTTTTCATAAGTTTCGTTCAGATCTAATTTTGGGAAAGTTCGTCTTCTAAGAAGTCACTGTAAACCAGTGAGGATTCCATTCACAAGCAGTGCTCACTGACTCCACAATGACTTGACGATCAATTTTTTTTGAGTCCGTTCATCAAACAGGTACCCAGATGGATCAAGTGTAAGATATTTCTTATCGCTGATGTTTCGGTTTCCAGGTACAAAATCATTCCTCTCCACTCGACGCTGTCTTCAGAGGACCAGAACGCAGTCTTCCGGTGAGTCTTGTAATGGGAGGGTATTACGTGGGTTTTGGGGGGGGG